TTCTATAAATTCCTATTAATTGTTTTATTTCATTCCAAAACACGCAAGACCATCCCATCCCTTTTAATTTACCGAGACTGATACTTATTTCCAGCTTTCTACAAAAAATTATAGCTTTTAAAAAATCAGGCAGAGCTCTGCACAATGTATTGACTGTAATTTCCCTCTTCATCCACTTCTAGCAAACAAGACTAAAAAATATTTTTATAGAGAATAAAAAGGTCATTTATAGCACTGTCAGAGATGTTTATTTTCTGGTTTTGTGTTTTACTGGCAACCACTACTCACTTCAAGTCTTGCACTGGACTTTTCATGAAGAATAAGTGACATAAGAATGAGAAAATGTAAGTGACAATTTTGCTCTTATTTAACATCCCATCAATGCCCATCCCATCAATTCCTTCAGAGTAAGCTCTGACAAGCACCCTTGTTAGGTGTGGCTCTGAATATAAAACAGGTCTTATGTCATTTTTTTCTCCTTTGTTGTTATTAAATGCCCAGAAATCTGAGGTGTAAGACAATCCGTTGAGGTCAGCTGCCCTGTTCTTCCCACCAGGCTCAGTCCTAATGTCTGGCTGTATTTTACTCAGCGCAATAACAGAGCAACTCAAGAAGAGGAGCTTCTACTATTTCAGATACTATCTTTCAAGCTAATAGTTCTCCCCAACAGTACGTTAATACTGTTATTTGGCCTAATATTTCTTTTACTCAATGACATCCCATCATTTCATGTTTTTCTGTCACACTAAGCCCTGCCTATTCTCCTCTGGTTAAATCCTTATTGTTGACCACTGAACACATGGGCCCTTGGCATCAATCACCTGGTCAACTTATGCAAACCTAATTCAAGAGAGAGAGGGGAAAGGACAAAGAACATTTTCTGTAATCCTTAGCTCCAATTTCTTCCTGTCTTGGTTTCTGAGGAGTTGTAGGCTGATAAGGAACCAGCTGAACTCAGCAGAAAAAAACCCACTGAGTTAAAAAAAAAAGGCCAATCCAGTTACACCAAGCTCTACCAAGTGTAGCCCTCCCCTGAAGAAACTATGGCCTGTGGAGAGCCCAGGCAGGAGCAGGTTGTCCCTGAAGGGCTGCAGCCCGGGGAAGGGCCCGCGCTGGAGCAGGGAGAGGGGTGAGGAGGGAGGAGCGGCCGAGAGGGGCTGTGATGGACTGACCACAACCCCCATCCCCACCCCCTGTGCCCCTCGGGGGGAGAAGAGTCAAGAGTGTGGGAGCAACGTGTGCATGTAAGAGAAAGATTTTTTTTTTTTTTAAACTAGGATAACTATTGCCATCCCTTTCCTTCATCCAAAGGGCTTACAAATTAATTTATTAGGCACCTTAAACTTCATTTAGAGGGCAGAGAGAGGAAAATAGGTAGCTGCACTAAAACAAGCAAGCAATTCTTGAACTCTTCAGTTGAAGTCCCCTCCTGCACACAGTGCTATCAGATCAGGAATATACTGCCTAGCTGGAGTCACCTGCCAACCAGATGCTGCTGCAGCTGCAGTAGTCTCTTTCTAGCATTCTTACGTTGAACTTCAGCTCGACCACAACTGAGGGCTGAGTCTGTACCCCTTGACAAATATCTGTCATAGTTGATGGCTTTTTATCAATGATGTGGCAAGTCATTCCCATAAGCATCAACATGCTCTGTACTCAAACATTTTGCTGGTTAGTCTGAGAAAAGGCGATCAGGTTGGTCATTGCAAACACGTTCTGAGAAAGAAAAAGTCATTCTGGGATGGTGATTTTGCACTGTGATCTGCTGTGTACCGGACTGAAAGGAATTATGTTTACATATAAGCAGAGCATTTTTATCCATTAGTATTTACCAAGAAACACGTGACGGCTTCCTTTCTCTGCCTCAACCATCTTGACGATTGACAGAGGGGAACTCAACAGACTTGAACAGAATTTTTTGTTAGGAACATACAACAAGGGCTCTGTAATTTGCAGTCCTTTGAAATGTGTGGCACTGCTTTTAATCACCTAAAGCCCAATACAGGCGAGTTGAGAACAGGAACACATGAAAGATCACCTAACCAATTACCTGTACCTTGTGGAATTACAGCAGAGATGATACTGCATATTTATGTCATAATATCAAGTTTGATACGTGCCAAAATACATCTCTGTGACTGAGTGAACGTGAAAGTCTTCCAAGATGAAAAGTTGTCCTCATTTCAAGGAAGAAAAAAAGACAAATGGGGTAGTGCTGCTATTGATGGAAGTTACGTCCGCTAATGATGGGAAAGCTGGAAATGCAAATTGAGAAGCTGTCAAACCATGTGCAGTACAACTCAGTAACCTCACTGTCATCGTACTACAAAAGGGAAAAGAACATCTGCAGTTTATCACTTTATGAGCAAAGATGGTATTATTAGCACTACCTAAAGAAACCACATTTTTGCTAATGATGCAGTCTGCAAATAAGCTCATGTCTTTCCCTGTTTAAACTTTCAGATAGCGCTCAAACATACCTACAAATAGCAGAAATTGTAATCTGGTGTAAAAAAAAACCCAACACAAACCACAAAACGAACTGTAACAATCGATACGCTACGATTTTGTGTACACCATCTGTTTCACACAGCTCTGCTATGTGCACTCTGATAACAGTTATCATTATTTTCAGATCAAAAGAATTAAAAAATAAAAATCGATTTTCAATTCAATACTAGTTGCACAATCCTCAGTTGAATGTCACTGTTCTTACAGAAATACAACTCCACATTTAAGCAAGACAAGAAAAGACAGGCTTGCAGTCTTTTAAGGCAGAAGACTGGTAGATAATTCTCCTACCTCCATAAAAGATTAGGTGCGACTTTGGAAAAAAGTTGTCCCAAAGTGGTCAGTCTCAAGCATTCAATATGCTTTTAGCCAAGAGTTTGATTTTCAGAAGGGCCAGGTACTTAAAACTTCCTCACTGGGTGAATTTTCATATCTCCATTGACTTTACTGAAGCTTCAACAATCTGGAGCAGCTAATGATAAGTCTCCTCCATAGGCAGGCACGAAGAGTTCAAGCCAAAAATCAAGTCCTGACCCTGCAGCTGAACACAGCTCCAACAAGTTCCCTCATATGCCAAACTCTCTTCCCACTTGGGTCTTAAAACATTTGTTTGAACATCTGAATATCTTGCAATATTATTTCTGCTACTTTCTTCCTTTCTCTACTGTGCTAACAGTACTTGCTCATTCCTGAGATGCAGGGGGGGTTTTATGTGTTTTGGTTTGGTTTTTTTTAAGTTTGTAAAGCACATGTCCATGTTGTGAGCAAATTTATTGGAATGTGAAAGCATTTTTCTTTTCCTTTATTAAGACCGAATGGATTAAGTGCCATATTTTATATGGCAGCGCTAGGATGCTGTGTGGACTCAGAACTTCGTAACTTTAGACAAAAATTATTAAAACATTTTGAAAATCTCAGACTTGCAGCAATGTCACTTCTGTAATCTTGTTTGAAAACATGCCATTAAAAGCATTCATTTCAAGTATATATACTCAAGGAGTATAATTCCTTATTATAGTAGGAACAATTGGTCTAACATTATCATCTCTGTAGTACTCTCGTCTCTAGCTGTAATTTCATACAACCCAAAATTTGAGGTGAAACAGCAAAGTAGAAGCATGCAGTTCCTTTCTCTTTTCATCCCATGGATTTTGCAGGTAAGTGACACAGATCCAGCACAAAACCTCTATTAGTGCAGCTTCATGTAAGTTAGGATGCTACGACAGCTGGTTAAAATCACTAGTATCAAGAAACGGTGCTGGCATCAAGAGGAACGACAACCAGCCAGAGAAACCAAACCACATCAGAAAGAAAGGTAGATCCCATCTTCTTCTCTACTCAGGAAAGAGAAATTACCCTCTGTGGATATAATAAATAAGGGATGTAAAAAATTTTGGAACGTCCATTTCCCATACCCTCTCCTGTGGCTTTTGCCCCGCGAGGCCCAAATTTTCCCCTTTGTGTACAGATGCTTATACCATTCTGTAACATGAGGTCCTTCCAGAACTCATGTTCCTAGTTAATTTCTGTAAGACCTTTCGAAGAAGTCAGCTTCAAGCATCATAATCTTAGCCTCCATTAAATAAGACCCTGCTGCCACTAAAATTATTTGCAGCTTCCTTTTTCCATTTTTTAAAATCTTCGCACGATTCCAAGACCTACGTCTCCTCTGTGCTCAACGCATTCCCAGAAACATTTGATGTGTTCTTAGCTGTGCAGATCAGTTAGCCCATCAGTTACTCGATCTATGCATGCATAAGCTTTTAAGGAGGAATATTTGCCAAGTGTTAGCCTAAAGCCAGGATACTCCTCAGGTGTCAAAGAGGAAAAAACAGAAGATCATACAGTGTAGTAAATGCTAATGAAAATTACTAGTGTGTGGGAAGAGTGTATAATCTTCAGAAACAGGAGCTACCTGACTAACTTAAAACTATAGCTGCTTGTCTCCCCTGAACTGAAAAGCTCACTTAACCCTCAGAAAAGATTAATTGGATAAAGGAGTTGAATCTACCCTAAAAACAACCTGTGCTGTTTAGGTGATAACAGAAGCAGAGCTTGCCAAACAGGAAGATTTAAGTCTTACCTTTTTGTTCCTTCCAAATCCAGACAAAAGACAACTGGAGCACAGCTACCACCAAAGTCGAACAATTTTCAGTTCTTTTCCATTAATAAATTTAAATTCCCTATCACCACAGTTAATGTTTGCAATGTGATTTTGTATAGCATTAATAGAACCCAGCAGACTTAGAATTCTGAGGCAGACAACCAACTCACTATATTACGTCAACTTAGTCAAAAGCTTTTTTCCATTTTTCTACCCAGAACGCCCATAAATAAGTTCAATCACATAGAAAGGTCCGCCTAGACTTCATTACGCTACTTTCTTCATTAGACTACTAACGGGAGGAATAATTTACAGAGTCAATGCCAAACAGCATTTTTTACTTAGCTGTGAAAGGGAAGCCAACACTTAAGAAATTAGAGCATTAGAAGAAAACATGACAATTTTGTTATTAATTAATAACTTTTATAGCTCAAATTTAAAAATATTAAATCAGAAACAATTCAAGAATCATGAAGAAAAATCTGGTACTATATACATGCATAATTAAGAATATCTAGATTCTTGTCAATATTTACTTAAGTTTTTTGTACAAGTTCTTTCACACAATCATATTTACAAGCACGTCTGTTTAAAACATATGAACATACATATTTTATAGAATTTACAAACCATTTGAATATATATTTTTTCTTAAAAACAAAAGAATATTTAACTGATTTGACAGATTTGGTTTCATCATATGATACTGGACAGGTATTTATCCAGTGGGATGGAAAGAGTTATCATGCTTCAATTATCTAAATAACAGTCCCCCTACTGGTACCCAGAATTATCATATATGGCTTTAAATACCTCCCAAACTCAAAGGATCATCTCACAAGTACAAACTACAGTCCATCTGTGGTATGTTTCTAATTAAAGTCTTGAGCCTTTTTTTGGGTTAGATCCACAACTCAGCAAACACATTCTAAGCATGTACTCAGAAATAAGATCCTTCTAATTAAAAAAAAAACAACTCTGCTTCCAGTCAAGTCAAGCACATATTAAGTACGTATAAAATGGGTTGTATGGACTTTTCTAGACACTTTAACTACCTTTATAGATGTTTTATGATTGTGGCATAACATGGTTTTGAACAGACAGTGTTTGTGGGGATTTACAGGAATCAAGTGAGAGATCTTCTAAGAAGGGGAAGAATACTTGTTCCTCAAAATACGAACATTTTTTAGAAAAAGAAAGTCTGAGGAGGTTTTGTACATAATATGTCTAAGTTACTGATACAATCCAACCAGTCAGATCGCTATCTAGTAACAAGCTCTCGCTTCACAAGTGAACTGAAAATTTGTCAGCTTGCTTGCTTTTGGCTAGGAAGAAAACCCCAAACTTTTGGCTTTGGCAAATCAAGTAGCCATCTCCTTTGAACACTGTTCTCTAGAGCTCCTGCACCGATTGTTCCACAGTTTGTTCTTCTACAGGCTGCATAGCTTCCTGAACATAAACTATGAATTCTGAAGCCTCTCCACCCTGCGTATAGACAGTCACTGTCTCAATTCCCTCCACTTCATCTGATGAGACCACCAGGTGATGCTGCTCAGACAGCTCCACTGAAGCCTGCTGCAGTGTCTCTTGAATCATCAAGGTGTGATTGGCCGATTGCTCCTCTTCTTTTACCTAAGGAGAAATTGAAGAGGTTACAGAAATTTCACCTTTCCAATAAGTACTTGGTATTGTGATGATTAATGGAAAGACAGCACAGAAATTAGAAATCAGATAGTTTTGAAAGAAAATGTCAGTTTTACACAAAATTTGTAGTGAGCGCTTCCGATTAATAAGTGTATAGCTAGACAGAATACTGAAAGCAGTAACACAGCATCTCAGTTACACGCACAGAGAGCTGCAAAGTTCCAGGAACATAAGTCTTTGGAGACAGCTTTAATCTCTCAGCTGTCATTCATTCAAAACAGCTCTTATTTGAATAAATCTGAAGGCAAACAATTCTTCTAGTGGCACTAAGATGAGAATCCATCAAAATCCACATGAAAAAGCATCTACTGTACCCATTTCTTTCTTTTTCTCCCTCCCCCCCCAGCCAACTGATTGCTCATAGAAGTAAAAACGTCATTGTAAACCTTAATGGACTTTTATTAGAAAATTGAAATGTAATTATTACTGAAATAGAACCCTCAGACCTACTGTTTTTGAGGCAGCAATTTTTACATTATTGAAAGGATAGTGACAATTGAAAATAACAGAATTTTTACTGAACATTTTGCTTCTTGTCAAAAAGAAAAAAAACCCACAATTTGGTATCAAATTTCAAAGAGTTCAAACAGCTCCCTGCCAATTATTAAAACACAGTACTTAGGAGAATTCAAGAACAAATCTTAATTCTTTACCAGATCCATACAAAATTCCTACGCACAGTACTCGAGGCCAGTAACAACACATCAGAAAACTAAGTCATGTGGAGGAAATGCATTCTCTCAAGTGTTAGTGATAAAATAATGTACTTTTGAGGGGAGAATGGAATAGCAGATTTTTTGATATGCAAAGGCATTTGTTAGATGTTTTCAGTACAATACCGCTCCCTGTGTTCATTGAAGAGAGCTGTTTTATTTGCTGGATCATAAATGCCAACCCACCAGCAACTGCAACATGCAGTTAATCAAATCCTGTCTTCCTTCTCTTCTCAGAAAATGGGTTGTTTTTGTTAAGGCCTATTTCTCTTTCATTTAGGCTTAGCAAGTGTTTTATGAAGTAAGCTTCCAGAGATAAATCATGTTTATTTCTGACTGTAAGAAAGTAGCTGATTGAATTTGTAAGTCACATTCTCTACAACAAATACTTTTTTCGTATCATCAAGTGCATCTATAAATTGTCCACTTACACAAACCACAGGGAATGAAGACAGAATTGCTGGCTCACCTACATCTCATGATGGAAAGCAAAACTCCATGGTATTTCCAATAACCGTACGAAGTGTAATAAGAAGAGAACAAAGGATTGACAGATATCAATTTACTGGATCTCAGTGTACCCTTGTATCTCAGAGCAGTATATGGTGTGCTCTTGGCAGCACTGAACTCGTAAGCAATTTTCAAAAGAATAGGTCAAACATGGTAGATTCCACAAAGCGTGGAATCTAATATATGTAAATTAGAAAGGTTTTTTTTTTTAATTAGAAGCCGATTCAAAATTTCTTCTCCAATTCTCATTTATATGACATTGTTTTGTAAACAGTAGTATTAGAACAATCAAGTTCAAGAAAATATAATTAAGATCAGTATTGCTGCTTAAGAGGGGAGTGGGAACAGAAGGGAAGAACTACAGCGAAGCTTCCAAGCGTATGTTTGACTCCTTAGAGACCAGCAAGGAGAAAAAGCAGTTCTAGATGCTTGTTTTCCTGATGCTCTTTTCTAATTTCATTTTTTTTCCCTAAGCAACCATTCCCATTGTTGTACACTGACTTTTAACTTTTTTATTCCGTGTTTACAATATCTGTCAGATGAAGAAGATTTCAGAGACGCACAAACCCCTTAGGACTTCATATCACTTTGAACTTTCACTCAATTCATCAGGCTATACAAAGCTTTTTCTTAAAAAGTATGTTCAGGTGTTAAATTATTCAGAGGTCCCAGAGTACAGAGGCCTGTAATATATTAGTGAAATATATGTGGATTTTATCTGGTGAAAGGTTTAACATCTAAAGAGAATCTTGCCATTGTCATTGATCTTAATGCAACAGCACAATCGTACCTACTGATGCTGACTCTGGCTTTGTTGCGCAGGATTCACATTATAGGGATAAAGCTACAGGAATGGGCTGAACTCCTTTCCACGTTCTGTTTCTTTTACCAAGCATACCTGAATGTTTTAATTGAAAGTTACTTTAAACAGCTTCTACTGAAGTTCAAGCTCAACTTCCTACAAAAGTGGGTGATGTTGGATGCTTGTCTTGACACAGTAAAATCTGCAACCACCCTCAGAAAAACTAATTTATGTTGTCATAAAATATGGGTGTCACCAAAGTACCCTTTACTAATGGAAGCTTGAGCCTCTCTTCGAAAAACAAGGAGCTAAATCATGAAAAGAAACACAGCACTGTGAACTTCCTTCTCTTGTTCCTCCCCACGCACCCCGGGTTGTTTGTTTATTGTTTTTTTTTTTAATTATTAAAGAAACCCTAAGTCCTACTGAAAGCAATAGGAATTTTGTGAATTCATACACAGGACTCCCTTTTCATAACTGTCCTCTCCTCTTTCCTGAGGCTACCTGCTCCAGTGTCAGCTCCTGTGTGAAAGGAAAGGACATACACAACGTCTACTAATGAAGATCATAACAGGCAGACAAAAGTCTAATCACTAGCAAATTCAGATAGGAAGCTGCAGTTACAAATGTTAAATAATTAAAATCACACAGCTTGTTATGAATCAGGTCACAATTACAGCCCTTGATGTTAGAGGTCCTCAAACAAATACGCAAATAGGGGTGTCTGAAATTTGGCCCTTTATTTATGTAATATACACTAACTACTCCTGTGTTAGCGCACTATACATAATCCTCAGACAACATGTCTCAGGCCAGAAAAATTACACTACATTTGCTAAGAGCTGCAAGAATGCACAACACAGTCTGAGAAGGATCTCATACAGTCTCACTTTAGTCACTCTAAATCAAAACCCATAAATAATTTTAAATACAGTTTTGTGAGTGTACAAAAATAACAAAGAAAGGAAAATAAATAAACCACAGTTGACACAAAAATGAAATGAAACCAGAATCTCATTCAATTCAATAGCAGCCATCTAATACTTACTCAGTTTTATATGCTTTTGAAATGAAAATGGCCAATAAAGAAAGTTAATTTAACCTCCCTACCTGACTTTATCGATGTGGTTTTATTACCCTTGTCATGCAGGGTAAAGAAGACTAATGCCCTTATTTCTGGTGTTTCTAGCTTTCAGTATCTATTTTGGACAGCTATCTGTAATCCTTTTAGTTTGACAAATCACCACATTATTTTGGATATTTACATTTCAAATCAGTTCAATGTTGACATGCTTCTGGTTGGTTCCTATTAGATTGTTCCACAGGGAATAATCTCAAAATGTTAATTTACATCCCTCAAATTGATGAAACAGTGGGACAGCTGCCATCAGAATGAATGAAGTCACTACACTCAATTCTTTTTATTGGCATCTGAAATCTTTTGAAGAGTAGCATCCAAGACCTCTTTTCTGTTTGAGAGCCAGCTGAAAAGCATCTGTCTGCTTATCCTTCGCTAAAGAATGACAGCAAGAAGCTGAAGCCACACACAGCTGGCATATTAAATCAATTCAGTACCTGCATAAATATTCTTTAGTAGCTAAATGTGTGTCTCACAAAAGCCAATGGGACTTTCACCCCCATGTCTTCATAAGAAGCTCAACATTTCTAAATTATAAATGTTCTTAATTTAAATATCCGAGGACCATCCAAATACATGTAAGTGACATTAAAAACGGGTATCTCTTACAGGAATTTCTTCCTCTCAAAACAAGCAAGTCTTTTTTAATTTGAGAGAAATTAATTCAAGCCATTAAGGAAAATATACTTCTTCCCTTCCCTGAAAAAAATATTTGCAGTAAGATGCTACAGCCTCTTTCTTATTCTAGAGCTCATCCTGAGCAATAATGAATATCTTCAATTTTCTTTGAAGTCAGCAGGAGTTGCAGGTCCATACTGTTTAAAAGAGTCTTGCTGGGCTTGACCGAAAATCCTCTGCAGAATCTCTCCCTTGATTTCAGATCGAATGCTGCCTTTCAGTTTACCATGAAGAAGAAAAGTTAATCACAGAGATCTTGCAGGATTTCAAAACCTTACCCAAGGTTACAGATGCTCCTATTTATATCATAAGACACCACAGTAAGAAAATATACAAAATATCTACAGAAGGATTAAAAGGAAAAGTGAATATAAGCATTCTAGATCACAGAGAGCACCTGGATATGTGATGTGCCAGCTTATGTTGGTGCCTACAGGACTGTCTCTACCATTTTGTTCAGTGCTATTTGAATAATTTGAACTCTTTCTCTCTTTCGGTTCTAGTTTACATATAGATATATTGTGTGAAAAACACACACAGACACACGGAGAAAACACTGTAATTTCATCATATGAACCTCTATAATGAGGTACAAAACAAAGACAATCTGGCACACAATAGTTTCAGAATAATAAGAGGCTTGAATATGAAAGACTTGCTTTGCATAAAATAAAAAAATGCAAGGTGGCAAACAAATCTTCATACCGGTGATGCAGATATTTAAAAAGTTTTAGCAATTGGCTGGTTGAATAAATGATGACAGAGAGACCGTGACTGGCAACTTCACTCATCTGGCAAAACGCCGTATCACCAGATTTCCTTCTCAGAAGTATGGCAACATTGCCATCATTTCAAGAGCTCTAACAGGACAGTAATCTTGATATGAGATTTTATCTGTATGTTACACAGATGACAAGAACTCCACAAAGGCTGAGAAAACAGGGCCATCTGCCCCCAGTTAAAACTTTCCTTTGCTGGTACTGTCACGTTAAGCATCAAGTTGCTCCATGTCCTAAAGCAACCGCAAACTTGACAATCAACCTATATAGAACTCTATGTATTGGCAAATTTTCTAGACGAACAACAG